GAAAATAACTGCACATAGGCAATGGGTCACCAATGAGTCTATTCCCTAGGGACTAACTACGGACAAAGGTTAATGACATCAAGCACATTTTTTGCCTTTAGTAAATAGATCCTTCCAAACATGGTGGGATACTACCCCAGTCGTCCAGTTTGGCGTCTGTGTCCGCACAACCGGCTCCTCGAGATTTACAAAAGGCAGGTAGATCACGAAAAGCGTCATGCAAAATAGAACAAATTATTTGTCGCAAAATACTATAGGCTTATAGGTCATTGGGTTTAGTCTTATTCCAAATGAAGGAGACGTGCGACGCCTTAGCAGTCTTCGTACTAAGAGACTGATTTCACGACGGAGCACGTAAGTGTAACTCTTTAAGCGAGGTCTTATCATCCTGATAACATATTAAGCGGCAAATGCCGCCAGTGCTCGTACTACCTAATCAATTTTATCGCGTGTGATTAATATTCGTGTCGAACCGTTCGCGGACTATGAGAGGAAGGCAATTAGCTTAAATGGGTTAGTTGTCAGTATCCACTTTGGTGGACCGGTAACAGCCTAGATAGATTCAGGTGTGTCTAGCAAATATGCACGAAGCGCGACCGTCAATGACAATAAGCAAGACATGGAGTCATAGAAGATTCCACATACGGATATAATATCCGTGAGCATCGCGACGGGTATGTTGGATAAAGTGTCGATTCTCATTTAGATTCTTGTGAACTTTGAGGACCCTAACAGCGATGATGGCTGTCTAGTCTCGGAGAAAATGTCTGATCGTAGGTATGGCGTAAACGAAACGCTTTGAGATATGGAATTTCTGGAAATTAAAAACATTCCATAGCACGCACTTCTCGAAAGTAACTCTTTAATAAGTTGAAATTGGCGCGCACATAGCTGTATTAAAATTTCCGATTTCTTAAAGCAAGATTTGCTGCTAAGTATCTTTGCGCTAATCTCGGGGTGAAATAGTTAATGTTTCAAGGTCTCATGATGGTGCGTGGTAGTAATCGAATATTGTATTCTTATTGAAGGTTTGTAGTGGTAATGGAACTGTGTATCGGATGAGATGTATTGTTACAGCTTTAATCTTGACTTGTCACATATTTGTTTCGGTGCCCGATTATGATTAAATGTGTTTCGCGGCCTCTTGATCAATAGCCGTTAAAGACAGATGATGGTGATTCGCAAGTAGAAGGATCAGGCTCGGTTTACTGAGGATTGACCAGTATTATCATTAGGTAAAATACTCATGAAGCAGCTTATTGTGTCACGTGATCACTGACCCCATTATGGCATTGCCTAGCTCTGAGCGTCCTCATCGGTTCAGAGCAGCATTTGTGTGTCGAAAATGAGGGGGTATCAGCTGCAGGATATAGTAGAGACGTTGCTTCGCCTACAACAGAACTCCTCATGTCTGTTGAGATTAGCCAGATCTTGGACTGGCTCTTTGATCCCTTTATGGCATTGCCTAGCACTTGGCACCCTTTAGCGGTTCAGGAACGCATTTTTGAGTCGAAAAGGAGAGTGTCTTATTTGCAGGATATTATAGAGACCTTGCTTTGCCTACAACTGAGCTCCTCATGTCTGTTGAGATAAGCTGGATTTTAAATTGGCTCTTTGATCCCGTTATGACATTGCCTAACTCTGGGCACCCTAAGCGGTTCAGGACCGCATTTTTGCGTCGAAAAAGAGAGTGTGTCATCCGCAGGATGTAATAGAGACGTTGCTTTGTCTACAACAGAGCTCCTAATGTCCGACTGGCTCGTAAGAGCGGGATCGTGGTATGGCCATAGGAAGCCTACTTAGAATACTGTGTATGTACGCGTTAGCCTCGGGATAACTAAAGTGTAGCTCTCATCATCATCCCTACGATCGTGAGCGGTCCGATGTAGAATTGTCGCAGCCTGGTCTATTTTGGTCTCAGACACTGCGTAGGTGGTACGAGCCCCACAACATATTTATAAGATTTCTGTCTGCCTTTGACACCGGCGTATAGATTGCTCATCTTTACCCTCAGCCATAGCCTCGCACACCCTACATATGATGCACAATTTCTTTAAGGTAATTTCACTGTTCTTGCTTTTTAATAAAGTCGAGATGATGCATTTTGATCCCTTGCTTCTCCTCAAATAAGACCGGACTGGTGTCATATACATAAGGTCTCTCACCAAACCGTTTATATAAATTGAGGTGAATTTTAGAAAAATATCTACTGTGACATTGATCGCAAGCGCCGTGAGTAGGAGCAACGCGCTCCGAAGGCGCGGTCTTCCCGCGCAAATGTTTGGGAATATATGCTCGATAACCAAATTACGGTCCGTCTGGCCAATTGTTTTCAGATGGTCATTGGTTAGTATAAATTACCTGTTGTCGAGCGCCTAAAACATTGTTTCCCAAAATTTACAGTCGAGAAGCACTGTGTCGAGAAAAAACTCGGCTCATATCGTCTGCAAAAACCACAACACCGGTATTACTAGGTGCGTCTATTGAAAATCTGTATGTAACGCTCATATTGATAGACTGCCAACACTACCTAGATCGACAGGCTGGCCAGTGGTGATGCTGCACACGGTGGGGGCCTAACCTGTTGACGCTCGATCACGTGCGCACATATAAGCTATCCGACTCGTGTACTTTAAGACCACCAAAATATGTCGCACACCGAGCAGTTTATCCTTCTCTTCCGAGGTGACCACTCAATTGAGTATAATGTCCTCACACAATGTTCTGAGTATGAGGTCATGTCATGACGTACCTTACAAGTCGGGGTCAAGTCGATTAGAGCTATAGGATCAGCAAGCCTTTTGATGTAGAGAATAACGATACAGGTGTGCAAACGCGCGCCCCGAATTATTGGCATTTATATCTTCAGACCTTTATTATTCCAAAGGATTTAGTAACACAAGACATGTTGCGTCAGAACCTATCAATTGGCGACGTCGCCATCGTGACATGCATCAATTGGGGAGTTTGATAGCACATCTGCCACCGCGTTAAGCTGACCCGGCTTAAACTTTACCTCAAATCCTTAATCGGAATAGAAAATAATTATTTTTTTATTTTTGCGAGAGACGTGGCGACGACGCATGATCAGTATAGATCACAAACAGATAGAGCCAAGTAGGCGCCTTCTGAACTTGAAAAAGGCATACTTTATAGCAAGTAAAATCTTGCCGTGAATAGGGTAGTTAAAATTTGTCAATTCTAGCTGGCTTGACATGTAAAAAATGACGCGTACATGACCATTGATATCTGTATGGAAAAAGCTCAGCATCTTGCATAGACTAAGGCGTCACACACGACATGGCATGACCGATGTAGATTCTGAAGAGCCAGACTCAAGGCATGCACGATACTTTCTTTCATAAGCTAAACGACGGTCACTTACAACGCAGTCCCACGCCACTAAAACTCTATTTACAGGGAGCTTTAAAAGGAGTTGTACCAAGCCAGCAACATTTGCACTGTTTTGTGCAAGAAACAGGCTAGGACAAGCCACTTCCTCAATCTTGCAAGACTGAGGCACTGGATAATCCACAATAAACTATAATCTCACTGGACATGCCCGCAGGACTTCTCACACAATTGTTATATCGCATGCCTCGAGCATCGCTCACAATTGTGTAATGTGGTGTCGACATCCGTTTCTGGTGTTTTACACAATTATAAGCGAAAATATCGCCAAATTTGGTGTGTACATAACCACGATGCGGTCTGAACCTTTCTGCCACCATACGATTGAAGCCGCTGGTACATAGGATAATTTCTGTGGAATAAATGGTCGCTTCCAGAACATCTCGCTCGGAGTACACACAGCATTGAGATTTTTATACCCAGTTATTAATATCCGAGGGTACTGAGCAAAGTGCAGCCAGCCATGTTTTCCCGCACCACATCCTTCCTACCTTTGCGCTGACATCACGGCTGTATTTGGCTTATCATCCGCATGCATAATCATCACCTGCCGTTAGCCTTTCGGTCGCAGGAAATGATCGTGCTTTGCACGGAAGAGTAATAAATACCAAGCTGTTGCCAAAACAGAAACCAATGCCGTGTGACGAGAGTTTGGTTTCGTAAATCAAGTCGACCACATGACGCCCTCTTTTCTTCGACGCTACCACGTTTGCGGTGAATATCCTTACGGAACGGATAGAAGGGTCTTTACCATACTTAATGGTCGCCGTCTTACTTTTCACACTGACTCCTTTGTATAATAAGCAATCTCCCGCTACGCATATTGCGTTGATCTCATAATTCTGTGTATTTAACATTTACTATACACCCTGTACAGTGGTAACCTTACCGTTTTGCAATTTCTTGTACAGTACTTTTAAGAATGATTTCACTAGCCTGTAAAACCTTTGGCTGAAAACTACAAAGAGGTATTTTTGGTTCCAGGACTACCCCAGTCTCTTCATTCTCGATTGACTAACCTTTCTCACTACTTGCCCGCAGATCTTCCCTGCCTCGTAATACGAACCATTTTAGCGGTGGAGCTTGCTCAGCACTTCCACCATATCCTGATAACGGCAAATCATTTTTTATATCTACAGGTCCTAATTCTTAGCAGCTTTTAGTCGCCATTCAGCTTCATTGGCCCTTGCACAGAATTGTGAGACCCTGTCGCTTAAGTCTCCATGGACTTGCCAGATGACAAAAGTTTACAGTTATTTTCGGGGGGGGGTCGCGCAAAGATTACACGATGTGGGATTCAAACGATTGTTCATTTGTCTCAACCGAGACAAATTGCGCTATATGAAAGCTATTTTCTGTCGTCCTGAGACTGTTCCGCGCTGCTGCTATATTCAACATTCAAGTGAAGATTGAGGACTCTGACAGCGTGGAACTTTG